ACAAAACGAAGTCGAATATCACAGAAATTTACGAAACAGAAATTTCATATACAAATCTCTAGTAATTTGTGAAAATTGTTATTATAACGAAATGATAAAAGAAACGTCTCCTTCAAGAAAGATGATGTCAACGAGATTTTTAAGTTTTTAAAGATGTGATGCGTTGTAACGGACAATTTGTTTCCCTTCTTTTAAAAGCCTCTCACGAAAAAACGCTAGAGAATGAGGTTGGCAAAATTTTCCTGAATTTTTCTCCTTATTTTGCCGTCTACCAAAACTTTTTGATTAACCACGAAAACGCGATAACCGTCCTCACAAGACTCGAAAAAGAAAAGCAAAACGCAAATTATTTGGTCCAATGCCAAGACAAAATTATAGCGGACGCAAAATTGGACTTAAGGGATTACCTTATCATGCCCGTACAACGATTACCACGATACAATTTGTTGTTAACAGATCTTGTGAAGAACACGGAGGAAACGCACCAAGACTATAAAGAACTGAATAAAGCACTTGATGCTGTCAGAGAGGTCGCAAATAAAGTCAACACGTCCATCTCGTCGAACAATTCAAGATACAAACTGTTTCAATTGAGGGAGAGGATGTGGACGAAAGAGGGATTTGAACTGATTCAACCACACAGACTCTTCATATTGGAAGGGAATGTTATGCAAGCGACGCACCTTGGGTTCCACAAGAGGACACTCTTTCTCTTCAACGATGTTTTGTTGTTCACGAGTAAAGTTGATAAACTTCTTAAAGTGAAGACTGTCATCTCCTTGACGAGAATGACCATAATGGGGTCTTCAAAGGAGTGTGGTCTATCCATCTTCAGTGATGTGAAATCGTGTGAAATTCTCTTTGACGCCATTGAAGAGAAAGCCACATGGTCAACGACAATAGCTGATCTGTCAAAGAAAGTGAAATTGGAGGAGGGATTTACTTTTGCTATGTTAGTCCTAGCACCCGAGGATGTCACTCAATGTGCTCGTTGTTCTTCTGTATTTGGAAGAAGGAAACGGAAATTTTACTGTAAGAAGTGTCTTAACTTTGTATGTTTGAAATGTTTTGATTCGACGAATGGATGTTGCAAGAAGTGCCATGCAATTGAGTCGAAGTTTGTGACAAGCAGTGAAAAAAGAAGCCAAAGCGAAGTGTTGACCGACGTCTTACCCACAACACACGTTGAAAAGACTCAAGATAACGAGATCAAACCAGTGAAGTCTCTGAAAATTGCGTTGAAATCTTATGACCCACAGACTGTTAACTCACAGGACATGGACACATTCATTGAAACGGAGGAACAACTCTCCCCAAATGTGAAAAACTTTGTGAATGAAACCGTTGTCTCTCGCAGTCGTAATTCACCGAGAAAATTGACACGAAAGTCTGTAAGTGAGACTATGAAGGACTTGAGTAAAACGGGTAATTCGGAGATCATCCCACGGATGTATAAAACAATTGGGAAGTTACAAACGAAAGACGACACGGTATTGGAGTCCAACGAGAATCTTACTTCGGGGTCTTCTTCATTGTTAGAGAGTCCACGAAAATTGGTTGTATCACCAGACTACGCAGTGACAAAGGAAATTGGTAGAGAATGTGATAGAAACTCAAGCGATGAGGAGAGAATAGTAGTTGATATAAAAACAAAGCAAAAGGGTATCGAAGACTATTTTCTGAAACACAACGACATGAGAGAAGAAATATGTAAATTGGAAAAGAAGAAAGGGGAAGATTTCATTACAAAGGGGTCGGAGAGGATTAAAGTGTTAGTTGAAATGAATCAAATAGCAGAAAAGAAGCGAATGAGTCTGCAGAATAACGAGAACGCGTCGAAGTAACGACTTAATGTAATCAAACTGTGTGTCTTTCTTGTGTCTGAAAATATTAGATCTTTTTAGTAACAATTGCTAAGAAAAAGAACTAAAATAATTATATCAAAGATTGAGGAATTACGAGTGATTGACTAAATCAGTCGAGAGCTTTTTGGACTTTGTGAAGACGTTTACGAAGCATTTTCTTGAGTTGGGTTTTCATCATTTTTTTCATCATCTTTTTCATCATAGGCTTCATTGTCTTTTTTATGGGTTTTTTCATGTCTTTCTCGCACGTCTTTTTCACTAACTTCTTCACATCTTTAGTCTTCATCTTTTTGAATTTGAAAGTTTGTGTTTAGAATTAAAACTATACGTCGTTCTTTATCTTGAAAATCTAAATACTAAGTTTTTTTCTTTTTTGTTGCGATAGAATGAAACTAACAAATAATTATTAATATATTATACTTGTTTAATACTGTTTTTTTGGAACAAAAAATAGTTGAATTAAATAATAGTAAAAACATTAATTGTTTTATAATAAATAGTTAATAAACAAATTATAATAATATGTATAATACTGTTATAATATTAAGTATAATACCATATAACTCTTCAAATATTATTCAAAAACTTGAAAATACCTCTAAGGACGTTGGGGTGATGAATGTGAAAAATGTTGTTTTATTGGTGTTTATCTCTATAGCTATTTTTATAGCTCTTATCAGTTGGTTCTTTTTTGGTATAGTTGTTTCAATTTGTACCCTTCTTTCGTTCGGAATAACTTTTGGCGTCCTTTACCCTTTCTGTTCAACTGTTCTCTACAACATAACAAACCCACGAGAACCTCGAGCATCAAATGGATCAATCCTTCCCCAATAATTATTTTTTTTGTTATTCATGTAAATGTTGTAGAGTCTATAAATTATATATTATAATATGTAATTAATTTATTTTTATATTGTTAATAAAATAAATAACATCTTAAGATATTGTTAAATTATAATTTTTACTATATAACTAACAATTTAAAAATATTTTTTTTTGTTTTTGTTTACTAAAGATATAATAAAATTAAACTAATAAATATAGTAATAAAATTATAGTTAAATAATAATTTAAGTCGACTTCTCTTTTAAAAGGATGATTATTAAAATAATTAATAAAGTTAATAGACTTGATATAATTATTAGTTTTGATACTATTGTTATTAAAAAACAACAACGAACTGACTAAGCACAAATGACTGACAAACCCGAAGACTACAAAACGATAGAAGAGAGTGAAGTAAAACCAATCCGTATGGGCTTTGAGTCGATCATGGATAAGACGATGGTGAAAGACGAGGAAGTCTCTCCAGAAAAAGTGATGCAAAACATTTATTATGTAGTTGGGCAAGTTCAAGAGATCACAAAGAAATTTTACTCCGACTATCTCCCCTATGAAGGTCAAGGTATTGGAATCAAAACTCCTTGTGAACGTCGATGGAATTCCATTGTTCTTCCTCTCGATATGGATGCTGGTTTGTTATAGTTATCAAATAATTAATTTTATCACACTTACTCATATAAATCGCAATGGTTTTTATTTCTATTCAAATTTATTATTCTTATTAGTATTCTTATAGTTTAAAGACTCATTTGAAGGGAATAGACTGTCCATAGCAAATAATGCTCATTTCTTGGAAGAAATTAAGACTCTTTACAACGCCAGGATTTCTGCAAATCAATCACTCGACAAACCATGTATGAAGAAAGAGGAAATGGATGGTTTTCTTGGCATATTCGATACACTCGCATCAGTGCAACAACCAAAGCTTAAGGAAGCAATGGACCAATTCAAGTCGAATAACACTTACTGATTGTTTTATTGTGGTATTTGTTTTGTTATTCAAAATTGTTATTCAAACAAGTCAATAATTACCAACGACCAACGCACGTTGTATCAGCGCGTCGCGTTCTTCAAGAAAACGGAGCCTCTCTGTTAACTCGCGGAGGCGCTGTTGCTTTACTTCGAGTTGTAAATGAACGTCCGCACTCAGAACATTTATCTCGGCTTTCATCTTCTCCATTACATCGTGATGGGTGTCGATCTCTTGACGAACTTTTTGACTTGGTTGTATTGACTCATACCGACGCTGAAGATCTTTGATCTCGTTCTGTCAATGAGCATCAATTAAATCACATTTGTGGTTAGATTATACTATATTATGGTTCTATAAAATATAAAGTAAAATATATGATTATTTTAAATTAATAATATGGTACAAGTTTTGAATATCAAAAATATATACTATATAATATAATTTTAAATAATACTGTTATATACAAAACAAACAGAGAGATCGCTTCGTGTAAATGATATATTTTCTAACTCCAATCTATCGAACTCGGCTTTGGCGCTTTTTAATTCGGCGTCATATGAATCGGAGTCTAATTTGATTTTATCGAGCTGTTGTTGGATTTCCTTTCGACGAGCGATGATACTATTCTTTGTATTACACGTAGATTTTGAGTTGTTGCATTTGAGAGAAATTTTTTCGTACTCATCACTCACATTGTTGAAATTTTGTCGAGTTTGTTCTTTGAGATTGTAATAATCAGAAGAACTCATTTTTTTGAGAGCACTTGATGCTTCTGTGATTGGGACGGTTTTCTCTTTTTCAATCACTTTCTCAATCTTATTCGGTTCTGCTCTCACCGAGGAACTCAAAATTTCCAAAGCAAAAACAACTTCCCCGGCTTCTTGAAGAATTTCTTTCCATGAGGTTTTTAAATAACTTTACAATAACGTTAAAGTATTATTACATTATCGAAATGTAGTCGGCAACAAACTGGTACCTGTGTCTTCCGTTTTTTTTGTTTGAGAAATTAAAACACGACTTAGTGTGGTTGGTTGTGATTTATTCATCATATGTCAATCTCAAAAAGAGATTATTTATTTGTTTTTTTCCTATTATTTTGCTTTTAGTCCTAAACAATTTCAAATATTAGTGTTTATAAGAAATAACTTATACAACTAGTTATGTTAAATTAAACGATATTTGATAAAAAACAAAATGAATAACAAAAGTTAAAATAAATGTAAATAAATGTTTTTTTCGTGTTATTCATTTTAATTTTTCTTTATTTTTTGACGAAAACAGAGAATAATACAAATTTGGCAAGTTTATTCACTTACAAAGTCCTTTTTTCCAACAAAACTGCAAATTGATTTATTTGTCACACCATTATACAAATACAAATTATTGTTTTGAAAGGAACTCAAGAATTATTAAACGAAAAAACTCTGTAAAAAATGAATAAGACAATAATACTATAGTTTTTCTATAATACAACAGTAGTTCGGTAATGGTTCAAATCAACAAAGAATGGTTTGGTCTAAAAATAAAAAACCAATTTTTAGTAAATTAATAATTAAAATACTAATAAAAAAAATCATCGAATGTTCATTACATAAAAAATCGTATTATTTTTTGATTATTTTTTTTGTATCTTAATTTAAAGAACTAAACCTAAAAATAATAAGAAACTCCCAGTAAAAAAACTGTACTTGTTTTTCAAAAAAATCCCGAACTACCCAAAATTGAACAAATACCAAAAGATATAGTACTAAATAGGATATTAATATTAGAATTAATAGTTTTGAGTATCCTGATGAAAAAAATCTATTTTTGCAAAAAACTGTAATATTTAATTAAAGAAAACTAAAAAACAACAAAACGGCTTTGATGAGCAAAAGCCACAAGCTGACTTCCAAAGAAAAGTTTATCAAATGGCGCAATTACCAATCTTCACAAGAGTCGGTTTTTCTAGCTATAATAAATCAATATTGTGACATTACTATACACAAACCCGTCAAAAAGGCTTTAGTGACTTTACAATTCGTTCAAATCGACGAACTTTCCTTCTCGCCAACAGACACCATCAACTTTTCCAAACTTGTTCAGAACTTAGTTAAACAGAGATTGGAGTATGAAGTTTCTATTGGTGTTCTTCCAAAGACGGCGATGCGAAGGAGTGAGAACTATCGATTCACTATAACTCTCAATTTATTAGTCGACTTACTTTCAGAGTTTCGTTACGTCCTTAACACTAAGCCGCCTGTTTCAAAAAAGGCCAAAGAGGCCGTTAGAAATGAAAAAGATACAATAGGGGAGACCATCCACTCCATTGCAAAAGATGGAATCATCTTATTTGGAAAACAAGCAATTGAAAGGACGGGAAGGCTCATCAGTTGCTACCTCAATTCAATAGAATATGGTGGGTTAATGGTCACCACTATATACAAAAACGATAAAAACCTCGCAAAACTCCTCACCTGCTGAGGACGCGTGTTGTCTGTTATTTGTTCATATACTATTATTATTGATACTTTTTACTATTCATTTTACTCTCCCTTTGATGACTAATTCCTTTCTATTATTAATAATAAAGTATAGAATTATGTCTAATTATAGATAGAGTTTTCTATTTTTAACTATAAAGAATTCTATAAGAGTAATTAGAGTGGAACACCACTGGACTCTGCTGTGAATAATCAATTAACCTGGAGAGACACACCACCAGTCGACCCAACATATGTGCCATTGTCTAGTTTGACATTAACACTGTCTGGAATGGTTTTGAGGAGCAACGCAAAATCTTTAAATTCGTTGGGTGCGACGGGAACATCAATCTCCTCTCCATTTTTCGTTATCGAAACAGTGTTGTCGTCTTTTTTCTTCACTTCAACGTCGAACGTAATGTTGACTTTCATTGCGACTTTCTTCTTGTCGACGAGCAAGTCATCCACAGCTACTCATTACTAATAATGTATTATAATTTATAATAAACTGTATTATATATATAAAAAATGACAAACATTCAAAGCGCTTTCTTTCTTCGGTCTCCTTCTTCTCGCTTTTCTCCTCTTTCACACTCAACAACGTTTTGAAAAAATCATTTGTCGTCTTAAGGTCTTTGGACACCAACGCGAACTTGTCCAGACACTGATTTATAAATTCAGAAGAAACAATGGGGACATTGTGTTGAATAACATTTTGAATAACATTTTTTAAGTGGTCGTTCCACTTTTTCTGATCACAGACCACAAGTGATGCGTTTGTTGACTTTTTTGTGATTTTTCCCTTTCTGAGTTTTATTGTCTCAACAATACTATCAACATCAACACCATCATCTAACCCTTCTTCACAAATGTAAATTATAAAGTTCTCAAAAGTGGATGGAATTAAACGCTGGACGAGTCGGCGTTTATTTGGATTATCTTTTCTCCTTTGGATACCAACCAATGACTTATAATCTGTTGGGAGAGACTGGAAATTTTTGTGGATTGTTTTGAGATCACAAAACTCAACATATCGCTCTTTATCACAATCTATTTCTTTATTTCCTGCTAAAAATGCGTTTTCTAAAATCTCACACGTTTTTGTGTTGTAATCAACCCAGTCGTAGTCGTTTAACCATTGCCACTTCGTTGACATCTAGTTTAGTGGAACTGATATTTCCTCAATTTTATTTTTTTGGCATTTTTTTATTAAAGTTTTAATAAGTTTTATGATATGAGTTTTAGTTTTATTTATTGTTTTGTCTTTGTGGTTTAAAATTAAGATTTAAATGAAGTAAATGTTATTATAAAACATTTTTATTTTTATTAAAATAACTCATTTATTTTTGTTTAAAAAAAATATATTGTTATTAAAAATGTTATGTAACAAAGAAAAATATTTAGTTGTTTTTATTATGAAAAATTAACTAAATTAATTCTTTTTTTGGAAAAATAAAATATTTTGTTAGAAAATAAATAGCACATATTAGTTTACAAAATCGGGAAAATAATCATTTGTTTCAAAAAACAAAAGCTGAAAAATGATTAAGTCAACGGGATTATTCAGACCAAACCCTTTTTATAAATAGAAAAAAGATGAGTTTTATTTGGTAAAACAAAAATACAAATTCATCTATTTTTTTTACAAATTATTATTATTTTTTTATTATCCCAAAAGTGCATTCAATTTTATTAATTATACAATAACCATATATTAATTAAAAAATTTTAATAATTAAAGAAAATAAATACTTCTTTTTAAAAATTTCACATTTTTGTGTTTATAAATTTATAATTACACGAAACCCCTGTTTTCTAAATATAAAAAAATCAAAAGTTGTTCAAATTTCTAATTTGGAAACAAAGGACAGGATATAAAGTTCGTTGTTCCAAAAGAATTATCATTCAATGTTGAGTACTTTTATTCGCTCCAGGTCTTATGGGATGCATATCCAGAGTTGTTTTTACAATATACATGAAATGACTGACTGTTTTATATTTGCTGTGGAAGAACATGTAGAAAAGGGTGAGACTACAATACTTAATGTAGTACCTTCATTTTGTCAGTGGGTTGTTGATGGTGACAAGACCAAAATTCGACTCTGGGAAATTATTGGAAAGACTTTCTCTTCGATCTGGGCGTTGTCCACATGCAAATGTGGAAAATGTGAAAAGAGTCAAATCAACATGTTATGGCTCCTCCGCTTTTTAGTATCTAGTGAAGTCTTTAAGAACTCTCTCTACTCTGAACCCATAAAAATTTTATGCTTCGACTTCATTAAGAACAGAAATTTGTTTGTAAGAACATGTTTATTACTTGAACAATTAATTGACACTGATGGAGTTGTTATGACATTTGATGATGAATTCTGTCAGTTATTGTCTTCATTGGATCTCGTGGACACTGGTGTAGCTCTGGGTATTATCATAAAAACCTTAACCAAAAAGACTGAAAGAAATAGAGAAGATGCAAAGAACTTACTTAAATATGGAATTGTGAACAAGATATTGAAGTTGTTGTCACTGTCCACTTATAGTCTGGCTATCATCCATTTACTTCAAAATTCTTGCATTTCAGAGAAAGATGAAGCGGTCAAAAAGGTCAGGAACAACGTTGAGAATGAATCGAAGACATATCCAGAAGTTGATTTAACATTTACAACGACACAAGGAGTGCATTCAGCAGATGTAGTTTCAGATGTACTCTTCTTTTTGATGATTTTGTTTGATTTAATTTCTCAAAAGAAAGCAATCAAGCTTGTAAAGGAAAGTGAAATGACTATTGCGATGATCCAATTACACGACTCAATCGATATTGACTCCCTTCCAGATGGATACACCCCACTTTCACAACATCCGTTACATGCGCTTTTTGGACAATATATTCACTTCATCTCGATGTTACCAAAAGAAGATATAATGAAGAATGGAATGATCGACATAGCCATGGACGACATCTCACAAGCAAAAGAATGTTTTAAAGCACCACTCTTTTCATTTGTCGAAGCTGTAGTAAGGGAGTGTAATTTACAAGAAAAGATATACATTGGAAAAACATGTGGAGCTATTAAAAGCGCGATATCGATGTTGTATGGGAAGATGAATTGTGATACACATGTCATCTTTGATGCCCTCGGATGTTTAATTCGAAAGAATGAAGAGAATTCCAAAGAGCTGATTGAGTGTATTCCCGAAAGCTTTGACAAGTTTCTGAAGAGGTGTGAAAGAGAATGTGTTTCGTCATGTGTTCTTTTGAGAAGTCTTTTGCTCAACATTTTATTTGATAAAAGCGGAGGAAATGCGATGCAACAATACCAGAAGATTGTGAATGAGATGATGCCCAACATATTTAAACAGTTAGTCGATCATTTGAAGGCTAATGGAGTTAACGGACACACCGCGTGTTGTTTGAATACAATCGTTCTTATATTGGGGATTCATCCCAATGTCGATCTTTTTATACAAAACGTTAATAACACGAAAATATATTTTGAGGAAATCAACAAGTTAGTTCAAACCTTTGAGAAGAGATACACCAAAGACGACCAAATAGAAGTTTTATTAGAAATCACAATGACTACAAAAAAACTGTGGATGGATGCTGTGAAGTGTGTGAAAGAGGAATAAGAAGAAGCTTTGGAAATGTTCAAGTGAAGAAAGGGTGTTGATTGAGTACTTTTTATATTTTAAAATAAGTATGATCCATTTATTTCTGGGGGGTTCCTCGATTTGATTCTGAAGGGATGGAGTTTTATTGGAGAACTAAAGAATGATAGTTTTTTAAACTATACAAAAAAGGCGAGAAACTCAATTACAAAAAGGATAAAATTAGAAAAAGTTTGGAAAAAAAAGGATAAGCGGGTTGCGTAGGGTACAACAGCAATCCCGATTAAAAATAAAGTTAATTTATTTTTATAATAATCTAATATAATACTAACAAAACAAGTAACAATGAATAAAAATAAAAAAAAGAAATAAAAAAATGGAGAAATAGATGTAATTGATCAAAAAAAGAAGAGAAGAAATTCAGATCTGTACCAAATTAGAAAAAATTCAAACCAAGATTTTTTTGTTTTGAAAGAAAACAGTGGCTGGTTACAAGGAAAAAGTGATGGGAAAACACGGGGGAAATGGGAGGTGGAATTCAAATGAGAAAATAGCGAAATTTGATAAGAGATCGTCTATTGTGAGTTCTGGGTATTCTAAATATACAAGAAACTATAAAAAAAGAGAAAGAAGGATGAATGGATATACCACTAATGAAGTAATCGGGGTGTTGGAGAATATACTAAATACCCCATATGATTCGAGGTACTGGCAAGATACGTGGAGTGTAAAGGTCCAAGGAGATGAACATACGATAAGTATTGATAACAGTTATAGCTATCAAGACTTGAAAGATAAGTTTGTAGTGTTTATTCTTGGTATAGAGAACTATTTATAGAACACTGTTTTGTTATTGAAAGTTTATGAAATTAATACATGCATCTATTCAACTAAGAACAACTTTTGGTAAACTATAACTTCTGTATTTATTACTTTTGATTGTATTGAATATAATCAATTACATTGATACGGAGAAGATGAACACTTATTAATAGACTTTTTGTGGTCAAGTCGACTGGGATCGTTGAGATGGACATGGAGTTACTAAAACAACTCATTGCAACGCCATTTTATTACCGGTACAACCCTTTCATACAGAAATTCAATGTGTTGCGAAGTGATAAATTTGAATCGCTCTTAGAAATCGAGATGAACATCTTTACTGCAAACAAGGTTGCATTCTGTGTGCACAGAAAAGAGATTCACCGCGGTAATAAACACTTTAACATCATGATGAGTGTTATGGACGAGCACTCGAGTATCGTCCCATTCAGAGATTCTCATTATCTCTTCAGTAGTTATATATTTGAGCAACTGTCATCCACACACGTCCGAGCAACTTATATTGCTAAAATAGCGCCAGTCCCTTTTTGTCATGAAACTGACGAACGACTTGGCTTAAGAAGACACATCACGATGATTAATAGATTCTTCAAAACCCTCACCGACTTGCCTACCAATTTGAGTGACATCCCGCCATATGTTGTTGTTGAACGAAATGGCTTTGAGAAGGTGTTAAACCCATACATCACACACGACAATGTTATACTGAAAGAAGACAATTACACGGTGTGTGAGGTGTCCAGGTTCAAAAATGACTTCAACTTTGTGTGTTGTGGGAAGTTCAAGAAGAGAGTCAAGTTGAGTCTTACGATGGACACTGTCGTTGACTTGGTCTTCCAAGACAGATGTAAAGTACTTGAGTCGAAAAACAACTGTTTGTTACTTCAAAAAGGTGCAAGTACACAATATGATGCGAATCCAGACCATATCTTGTTCTCTTCTTTTAACTACTCCAATGAACTGGCTCTGTTCCACTTCCACTCGAAAAGGTACTGCGTCGACGAAAAGAAGAGTTCTAAAGTGTTTTTCTTTAACGACGTCTACCTCATGTTTATGAGAGACGTCGATGGCATGTGGGAGGTCCAATTCTCGTTTGACGCGACTGAAAAGACGGGAGTACTCTCTGTTGATGTCATTCGGATATTCATGACTAATTTTGAACACAGACTCGACGACAAAACACAGTCGATCGACTCATCTAATAGTCCAACAGTACACTTTGCTTATGACCCTTCTTACTATATGAACTCCAGCACGTTTGCAGACTTATATCGAGCAACTTTTCAGAGGATTTGCTCCTATTTGAGTTACACTGATCTGAAGAATCTGTCGTGTTCGTCAAAACAAGTCAGAGCTTTGGTGTTGTCAGTGATGTCGTCCGAAGAGACGCAAAGTCTGAACTCAAACACAAGTCAGTCTTCCGAAGAGAGCGGGCATAGTGAAACGAAAGCATCGCCATTACTCCCATCCATCGCTCAGTTAGTGAAATCAAACACATTGAGTTCCCCAAATAGTCCTGGTTTGTCGAACACTATGTCTTCATTCTCTCCGACGTTTTCGAGCTTTAATAATGGGTTTCAACCCTCTTTCCAACAGAGTGTCAAAGAGTCGAGTGGGAGTGTCCAACTCCCCTCAGTCTTTTCAGAATTGCCAAGTAAAAGTGTACCTCTTGTGCCACAGAGTATTCAGAGATTATCAACACTAACGGGCTGTTCTTCTTACTCGCTGCAGAGCGAATGTGAAGTACAGAATTCGGGATTTAGGGTTTTGGAAGGACACACTAATGTCATTCGGTCAATTGATTTCTCACCCGACAACTCAGTGATGGTGAGCGGGTCATCTGATAGAAAGATACGCACGTGGGATTTAAATACTTTTCCGATAAGTGGAAGAGTGCTGATAGGGCCGAATAGTAGTGTTGTGAATACCGTCTTTATGTCCCAAGACACTATCTGTGTTGGGTACAAGTGCGGTACAATTAAGTACATCAACAGCGACAACCAGAAGACTATAGTGTTTGACTCGGCATCAGGGAGACTCGAGGGTTTCTTCCCACTCAAAGGGATGGACTTTGTTGCTTGGAACGACAACGTCCAAATCATCAATTACAACAACTTCAAACAAAAAGTGATCTTCACGTACCCACAACACTCGAAGAAAGTCACTGTAGTCAAACAGTTCAAACAAAATGAGTTTATCTCCGGCAGTGCCGACAGAACAGTCCACATCTGGGAAACCCAAAGTGAACACTCGAAAATCTCTGAAATCAAACCACACAAGAGCGGAGTCGCAGTGATCGACGTCATCGACCAAAACAGGTTCTGCACTGTTGGAAGCGAGAAAGTGCTTTCAGTGTGGGACGACCGAATGCTGAAGATCCCCGTTGTCTCCATCGACAATCGTGTAGATGTTGTATGTGTTAAAAATGGTGTTTTAGCGTGCGGATGCGATGATAATACAATCAAGTTCTATGAAACCAAAGAAATGAAGGAGATCACAAGTGTTCTGTGTAACACGGGAGACACGACGTTCTCTGCACTTAACATGAAAGGAAAGGTAGTAGTTGGTGGAGGAAGGAATGGGAACTTATTTATCGGGAAGTGTGACTTTTTGTGTGATAATTAAATGTGTTTTGTTAGTCATTTGAGGGGTTAGCTTTATTATATATATATATAACATATAAAAAGAAGTCACTTAGAACGATTTAATGGTCTGTTGCATAATAAGGAAGTGTTGTGTGTAAATATTAAACAGTCTTAACTCACTGCAAAAGTGAAGATTTGTGTTTATCGTCCTTAATAAGACATTTGAGGGATGATATTAAGAGCGACTTTGGTAAGTCTCCCAAGAAGTCTGACCCCCCATTGTAAGAAAAGGTCGAGAAAAAGAGGATAGAAAGAGTTTGAAACATTTCCGTGTGATCTTCTATCATATCCACATTATCAAATACTTCTAAAAAGTTTATCACGACATCGGGTAATTGCGCGGAGAGGTAGAGGGAATATGACTCAAAAAATTTCCATGACATTCGCGCTTGGGGGCACTTTAACAGCTCGACTAATATTCGAACAGACGTGAATGGCGTTGCTCTTATTAACGCAAGAGACGTCCCACAATAACACCATTCAACAAAAGCTGTTGCTGATGTTTCTGACGTATCAAGATGAAGACCAGAACAGAACGGTTGGACGATCGATTTGTGAATTGGAATTTCTCCTGTTGAATAACTTAAAACTCCATCTGTCTCGAGTAAAAATCGTTGTTTGTAAGCTCGTAATAACGTCGGATTTGGGTTGGCAAGGACGGGCGCTTCTGGAAACGCAACTGTTAAATAATAGAAACACAAATTGCCCTTTTCATCTATCGCAAGGTACTCGTCGCTCTCACGCACTCGGTCTATTAATTCCTTAATTCTATTTTTCTCACACAACTCTCTCAAAGTCATTTTTTATCTTTTTGAGTGATTTTTTAATTATAACCATTTTTTGTGTTTTTGTAAATGTTATTTATTTTATAGGGTTTCTTTAATTTGAATACGAAGGGAAAAAAAGGTATATTATTATATTATATCTATTATAACATATATATTATATTATCATTTTTTAAAATAATATCTATTCTTTTGTTAAAACTCAAACTATAGAAGAAGTGACACAAAACAATGAAATTGTTTCAAAAGATGTCAAAACTGGAAGCCGTGTACATAACAAACATGTTGTTGTATATTAGAGAGATGAGCACAAAAACCTACTTTTAGTCTTTCAAAACACTCAAGTGGTGTTTGATATAATTCGAACCAATCCACAAAATATATTATGTGGGATGAATTATATGAAATAAAGATTTCTAAAGCTCAATACATAAAGAGAAACGCCTCAATTTTGTAATGCATATACAGAGAATAAAGATACACTTATCACATTCTTTGACTTGTAAAAAGTGTTTGTCATCTCTCTGACTGAATTTTCGAAGCCCAACATTTAAGTGACCAATTCGTCTTTCTTAGAATCAACTTTATTGGTTTAAAGTGTGTCACAAACTTTTTGAAGTTGAGAAATTTGTTTGTAGAATTTTAAAATATCTTCCCCGATTAAACAAATTGTTCAACACTGCAATTTCTATGGAACGTTATGTTCTATTAAAACACAACGTTTATTTTATTGAACAATACAAACAACTGTATTAGATGAAATGTATCAAATTCTGTATTGTTACAAAATGGGATTTTTTTTGCAAAAACAACAAAAAATGTTCATTTTATGTGTTGGGGTTATCGTTTTAAACAACAAGAGCGAATTTACAATTAAGAAAACTGTCTTAAATTAATGTTAGACACACCAACTAAAATACCCAAGACAACCAATATTACAAATCAATTGATTTAATACTCACCAAAAGTGGGTTCTATGATTTTAGTGGTATTAAAACAGAACATTTAAAGCTCAATTTACATACCAGTGACTTATCTTTAATATTTTCAAAAATGCTTATGTTGGTTCTAAGAAATCAAAGTAACAAGGGCTGTTATATTAACAATGATAATGTATTTAATTGTTATAAAGTTGAGATGTATTACTGTTTCACATTCAAAATGATTCATGTTACAAAAACAATGAAATATTTAACAATTAGGTCTCCTTTGTGTATTCAATACGACTTTCTAAAGCACTCAATTTATAGGAAATTGACATTCAATCCGACTTTGATGAACTGAATGTCGACAACTTTGTTCTCAACAATTATAAATGTATGTCACAAAGGAATTGTTATATTTTCTGTTTGTGTTAAAAAGTTAGACATCACAGGTAAAGGAGATAGAATTTCAGTGATTGGTGGGGGTGTTTCCATGTCGTTATTTGGAGTGATTTTACACTATATAATGCCCAAACACCAACACAGCTTAAAAATTCAAACAACTCACAAAATAATCATAGAATCAACTTCTTATTTCAGTGACGTCAAAAGAAAGAGGAAGGTAGCCAATTTAAATGTCTTGAATTTTGAAATATTAAGCGAAACAAATTTGGAGTATATCAGTGTCTCATAAGACATGATATCGTGGATTTCTCGGGATGTCATTCGATCAAAGGAATTTATATCCTCTCCAACAAAACTTTGTCTTTTAAAGGTTTTCCAACTCTCTTGAATTTGTAAGCGACGTTCAAAAATTGCATAGAAGAAATAAACCTTTGTACTTTGAAATAGACAGAGAAATGCAAAAAAGGCTTTTGAATAAAGAAACAAAACATAGACTTTTTATATTAAAAAAAACTATTAGCTGTTTGGTCGAACTTTATGTGCGTTGGAAATGTTTTGAAAGGCAGGAAGTGTAAATTTTATATGAAGAATATATTAGTAAAGAAAAGAAAGTGTGGAGTGTTTTTAAACAAACTTTTCGTGACAAACGTTGACCAAAGCAACCAACACACATAAAGAAAGAAAATAAAGTTAAAGAATACTTAAAAATGGAATGTGACAATTCAGAGGACGTAAATGAGTTATTTGAAGAAGAGTTTGGTGATTATATTACAAAGTACTTGTTATTAAGAATATTTTATTATAATGTACTAAACATAATTATAAATGAATTATAATATATATTATTAAATATATATTATTAAATATATTAAATTTGAATAACATAATTATTAAAATTTTTTAATCTTCATAAAACTATTTAAAAATTTAGTCAACATTTCTTTAAAAAAAATCCTCCAATTTGTCGTTAAATAAAAATTTATTACAATTTATCTAATAACAATAGTTTAAAAATTAGTAACATCTAGTTAAGTACAAAGTCTGATTATCACATAAAAAGTGACATTCTGAGCATTTATACTCACTTTCTGATTTTTAAACAACTTAATTATTAATTATCATAATTAAATTAAAATTATAATAATACGACTACATTTGGTTTTGTTTGACGAAAAAAAAAAGACCGAAAAAGTCAAAGAAAGTGTGTTAATTCTATGATGTAAATCAATAGATAATCATAACTTAATAAACTATATAATGATCCGTTCAATACAATCACTTGAACTCAAGTTGATAAGCTTATCCTCAGAAATTGAAGAGATTTTAGGTGAGATGAAACACCTCGATGACAATTGTTTGAACGAAAGTATTCCAAACATCGAAACATTACTTGAAACCACAGACGTCAAAAGTTCCATCAAATCACTCGAAGCCATTTTCGACCGCCTTGGTGAGTCTATTCTCCGTCGGAAGAACATCGAAAAAACAACATTTGAATTGCAAGAATTGTTGGGGGAGTGTGCACTTACCAAACAATTGTTTGATTGGTGTCGTAGTAAAGAAGAGGAAGAGACGACCCAAAACAACCAACTAGTTACAAAGCTAGTTGCGCTTGAAGATAAGCTTTACTCCAATGAAATTGATTTGATGCTTTCAAGACGAAAAGAAGTGAATGTGTCACGAAAGAACGAATTGATGACAAAGTATATAATGAAAGACAACCCATTGGTATCAAACATGAACATGATGTTTGGCGAATACAACGTGCGTCTAATTGAAAAGTGGTCTTCATCCAAAGTGAGCAAAATAGTGTTTGACACATTAAGTGATGAGTATAGTACATCAACTGTATTTTTCAAGAAAACAGAAGGATTGAAGAAGCTTGCCATCTTCATCAAAGATAGTAACTCGAACATTTTCGGAAGGTTACTGTCAGGTACCTTCTTAACAAGTGGAAACGTTTTAAGCTCATCAGACGGATTTAACTTCATCTTGAAAATTGGGAACAACACACAGACGCGAATCAAAATAGATAATAACGTGTTTGACTATTCGGGGATGCCTGCTCTTAAGAATCAATTTTTGGTCATTCCCGGTGCATTCTCTCTTGGGAAGTTTGGTGAGGAAAATCTGTGCTATTTGTCTCGTGCAAATTTTGGGAATGAAAATTTGCTTGGAACGCCGAGTAACGGAAGGTTTGCATATAGAAGAGTGGTCGTTGTTGAAATGGTGTAGGCTCTTTGTTTTTATTGATTTGATTTTTATTCCTTTTATTGAAGTTTTGCATTGAAAATTTTTGGAACATGCATTTGAAAAGAAGAACTTGAAAAGGGAAGTAATGACTTTTGGTATAGTCTTTGGCACCATCCTTTTGCTCATTCTTTTGGTGGTTATATACAAAGTGGTATCCACCCCAATTGAAAACAAAGATAAGAACAAGACACAACTGGAGATCGATCAAATCGACGCAGACATTAAAAAGGAAAAAGACGAGTGTCAAAGGAATTTGGAATTGATGAAATGCGACTTTGAGAATGTTCAAAAGGACCAAACAACACGAAAAAGCCAATTGGCTCATGAGCTTGCACTTAGAATCATTAAAGCTAGAAAGTACATTGCAACACTTATGGAAATTAGGGCAAATATCCATGAAGAATATGAAAAGTGTCATAATACAAATAACCAAGACTTTTCAAAAAAGATCGAAATTGCACAAAGGTCTGTTACTCTTGCGAAAGCACATTACCACAACCCACAAGAAAAGACTTCGGAAGAAGACCTTGGTTTGTTATCTTTAATTTTTGTTGGTAATATAGTTTTTTGTACGTAAAAAAGACTGACAGGAAGAGATGTCACTCGACAAGTTTGTGTTGGATGGAGAGATCGAAGAAATTAATCAAGAAAAAGAGGATTGATCTATTAAGTAAAAATCTAATAGTATTTATTATTTGTTTTAACTATACATGTTGTGTTAGAATTGTAAATTTATTTAATTTTTCAATGTCTGAATTATTAAGACTAAATTCATTGAAAAATAAATTGTTATTTTTTTCGAAACTTTGTTTTTTTAGGAACTTAAATTATTTTTTATTATAATAAATGGATTTTTAATTATATGGAAATTAATTAATTTTCAAATAAAAAAAAGTTAATAATATCATATCATTGTTTTTATATTTTTATAATAATTATAATAATTATCTATTACTTACCATTTTATTGAAAAAATCAAACTAAATATATACTTCAAATATTAGCTAATTATCGGGAAAATAATAACAAGAAAAATCCAAGATTCTTCCAAAAAATGAAAAAGAGTTGTTTTTTCACACTTTTCGTTACCATTTTTTAATTTTTTTGTATTTCTAACAGAAATATAATGATAATAATTATTATAGTGATAATTTTTATTATTAAAAATACCAATAATTTAAAAATGCCAATTTGAATGGTTAATTCTTAAAAATATCGAATTATAATAATTTTTAAATGGATTACAATAATATTTTTACTACAAATATAAAAATACGCATTTCCATTTTAGATTGTTATTATCCCGTTTCTTTTAAAAAATATGGAGCTAACTTTTCAAAAGTAAAAGAGTTTTTTTAATAACAAGAGTGGTATTAATTATTTAAAAATGCAAAACACCAATTCAATTTTTAACTTCAAAAGGACAAATATATCATTTTGGTAAAACAAAAAAACACAAAAACGCTCTTTAAAAGAACGTTCTTATCATTTCTATGATTCTTTCCATCTAAAAACAGAAAAGTTATACTGTATTAGTAAAATGAACCATTCAAAATTATACAATGATGAAACTGTAAAAATTCATTATGCTACTTTTCTTCATTCTTTCACTGAGTTTTGCACTGGACCATTGCAAAAGCCAGATTTCAGACAATCACTGTATCGAGTGCGAAAGTGGGTATTATCTACAGCTTACTGATAACACCGATTCGGGCATTCCTTCACTTCTATGTGTTGCTATTGGTGTGTCTGAGAATTGCGAGATCACCGACAATGGGGCGTGTGTGAAATGTCTTCCGAAGTTTTACTTAGACGGCAATCAATGCAAGAGTTGTTCCATGGAGTTCTGTAATTATTGCAACTCGACATTTTGTTATCAATGTGGGTCAAACGCAGCGGGAACACAACTCTATCTCTCCACGGACGAGACCAAATGTGTTGACTGCACTGATCCGGCACACGACGAAGACTGTGGTCGTTGTCCTGGTGGAAAGTACTTTGACATTGATACTAAGCGATGCGAAAAGTGTATGACCAACTGCGCTCTCTGTACTGAGAAGTACAACTGCTACCAATGTACAAACAAAACATTGCTCAGTAAGACGGATGTACCCACTCCGAATGAACCAGATAAGTGTAACCCTATATCCAATTGCGACGAAACAGAAGGATTACAAGATGATCATTGTGAGTTGTGTAATAGTGGATATCGACTTGAGGCGGGGGACTGTGTTTCTTGTGGCACAAATTGTTCGGTGTGTTACAAGACCGACACTGGCGAAAATTATTGTTCGGTGTGTAAAACAGACTACGTCATGACAAACGGACAGTGTAAAAGCAAAGACGACTTACACTGTTTAGAGGGCAGTGAGACATATGGATGTTTACAATGTGAGTCTGGAAGGTATTTCAGTGCTTCGCTCGAGTGTTTACTCTGTGATGCAACTTGCAGCACTTGTGTCTCTGAGGCGTCGCACTGTCTCTCTTGTAATGAAAATTACTACTTTTTGAACGGCACTACACAATGTGTCCCAAAAGATGGAAATTGCAGTTTGGTCGACCAAGCCGGGTGCAAAGAGTGTTACAACGATTTGACCACAGAAGGGCAGAAGACAGCTGGGTACTTTGTACCGAAGGGTGGCCAAGAGTGTCAGCCGTGTGAATCACATTGCAAATTATGTGAAGACGAAGCGACACATTGTTCTGCGTGTATCACCAATTACACGTTGAAAAAGGTAGAAGGAGAGGACTATTACATCTGTGAAAATATGTCGGAGTTCTGTTTAAAAACTGGTTTGTTCTAACATCTTCTGTGTTCACCAATTACTACCCAAATAACAGTTCAATACTAATGAATAGAAATGGGGTATTGCACAGAGTGTGTGTCCGGGTTCTTCATCAAGAACGGTGAGAGTCAACAATGCTCACAATGCGATTTGTCGTGCAGCACATGTAAAGAGTCGAACAAATGTCTGAGTTGCAAAGAAGGGTATTACCTGTCGAAGTACGAGCAAGACTTGGATAACAAAACTACGTGTAGAAGTCAAAAAGAAATTAATTCGACGTGTCAAGCTGGGATCAATGGGTGCGAGACATGTTTCCCTGGATATTATATCAACCACGACGATCCAAAGCAGTATATCTGCCAGAAGTGTCCTGATGAGTGTAGTGAGTGTGTTTGGAAATCGACTGATACCAATGACAACACCGTTGGTATTCCGATTTGTACTACATGTAATACAGTAAAGGAGTATGTGAATGATGGGCAGTGTAAACCATGTAGTGAGTTGACTCAATGCTTTGAATGTGAAGGTGAGAAGTGTAAGAAATGTAATGATGGCTATTCTCTAGATGCTGGAGGAGTGAGTTGCTCGAAGACAAATTGGGCTTTGATAGTTCCATTAGTCATTGTTGCGATCATTATCATTATAGTTCTTCTGTTACTCTTCATCGGTCTGATTTGGTGGAGAAGAACTAAAAGTGTCAAAGCAGAAACAGCAGCGATCAAGCCGTTCCACGTCGGCAGTGATTTGGAGCTGATGTTGTTGGGTGCCGATAACGAGAAGTTCCCATTAAAGACAGACAAGTGGGAGTTATCATTCGACTTAGCGAAATCAAAAGCCATTGTCGACCAAGAGTACACTGAAACTGTCAACCTTGCCAATATGTCGAAGAAGCAATATTACTTTGAGTTCCACTATACTCCAAGCCATAAGTACGACTTAGAAATTACTCCAAAGAGTGCGACATTAAAATCGTCCACGGCTATTCCAGTCACTTTCAAGATCAAAATGCTGTGTACAACTTCAGTGAGTGACAACATTGGTATTTCAGCAATGGATATTGATGATCAGAATAAGGAAACTGCCAAGTTCACTGTAGTTATTGAATCGGATTTGTCACTCAAATTGGACCACACTGAGTTGAAACCAATCATGCCGCCAATTGGTGAAGGTGCATTTGGTATGGTATTTAGAGGGACTTACAGAGGCAGAGATGTCGCCATTAAGAAAATGAAGGCGAGAAATTTGACACAAGAACAAGAGAAGGAGTTCAATCATGAAGTTTCGATGATGACGCAGTTGCGACACAATTGTGTAGTTGAGTTAATTGGTGCTGTGTACACTGAAGGTGAGATATCTATTGTCACTGAGTTTGCGGAGTATGGCTCGTTGAGCAAAATATGGGGGAAGCAGCCAGTCAATTACCAACTTAAGGTGAAGATATTGGATGACATGGCTGTTGCGTTAGCTTATTTGCATCAGAACAATATCATCCATCGTGATGTCAAAGGCGAGAATTTGTTGTTGTTCTCCCTCAACCCACATTCTCCAGTCTGCGCGAAGTTAACAGACTTTGGTACATGCAGAAACATCTCTGAGCGAAATCTGGCATCAAAAGCATTGTCACAAGGTATCGGAACACCAACATACATGCCACCAGAGTGTTTACAGAACTCTTCAGAATACAGTTACCCCGTCGACGTCTATGCTTATGGTATGGTCTTGTTCGAGACTTATGTCGAGAAGAACGCATATGAAAATGATGAGCGATTCAATCAGCCATGGATGATTCCTCAATTTGTCATTGAGGGACAAAGACTCGATAAGCCGAATGGGATTCCAGAGAACTATTGGGAGTTAACTACTAAATGTTGGTCACAGAACGCAGAGGACAGACCGACGTTTGCCGATGTTTTGAAAACTATTGAGTCATGGGGCGAAGACATCAGATATGCTCTTAATATCGAAGGGGAGAAGAAAGCTGGTGCTGGAGGCGCAAGTGATATTTCGAGCAATTCGACGCCCTCCGTGCCTTCTAGTGCTCAAGAGCCATCCATCACTTCTTCCTCTGACAACACCCCATCTGGGCCACAAAGTTCGTTGCCAAAGTCTGTTGGAAAACGCGTTGAGAAAGACAAGGAGAAGTCTTCTTCGTCTTCTTCAGAAGATTAAGTCAGTTTTATTCTTCCGATTTCTTTGTTATGACCTTCTGTGTATCAAACAGTAAACAGACTATAAATGAGTTATATTAATTCACACAAACAATGTGTTGATTGTATAATAATACAATAAAAGGAGCTAAGATCATCACATCATACCAATCATCTTATTTCCAAATGTCGAGGATATCCTGGCATCATGTCGCATCGAACAGAGAAGACTAGAAGTAAAAAGTGCGACTAAATGAGGATTTTCGACTCGTACCATATTAATTAACACCAACATATCACTTTTATCTAACCCACTTGTCTTCTTGAGGTGTTCAACCATCCGATGTCCAAAGGGTAGAGCAGACTCCATGATCTCTCGTAATAAGTCAATAGCACGCACCCGCGTAAAGACTGAGAGTTGGTTCAAAATAAACAACGCCTGGTCTTCGTACTCGTTGCTGATCAGTTTTGTAATAACAAAAGAAAAAGCTTCGAACAAGTAACAGCTCTCCAATTGTGTCATGAAACTGATTGGATTGATCGGGTATATCGAATTCTTCACGTTCAGGCGTTTACTCACCGAGTCGATAAAATAAGCTGCGCGCGAAGTGAAGTAATTTGTTAACGTAATTCCCTTTATTGCATACACCGTGCTCTCTCCGCACTTCACATAACACGACGGCGAAGGGAAGAAGAAGTATTCCGAAGGTTCAAATTTCGTCACAAATTGGAGTGTAAAAAATGGGTTGACCTCGGGAGTTATTTTGTTGGACAAAAAGTCGAAATTGGTATGATGG